TGCAATTCACAAAATACATAAATGGATACATAGACATTTACATAACATTGTACTGAACATGAATCTATTGACTTAAAAAGGATGTAAAGCGCATAGAGCCTGCTGTTGAGCGGGGATATGCGCTATACAAATGCTATCTATTATTATTATTATGTCGCAAGCACATTGCACTTTATTTACATCAGAGACACATATCTTGTTAGTGTTGTGATGCTCCTATCAGGAATAATGAAAAGCAAGAAAGTTGTAAGCCTTGACCATAGAGAGCATTAAAGTGATCTTGAAAGGTGGATTGTTGGTGGAGTTTGGGAGGGTGTAAAAATAGAAAATTCTCAAACTTTGGAATTATGTGGATTAGTTACGACAACGACGACATTAATCCACCTCCTCTGTCTATATCAGGCAGGGACAAGCGTGTCCAAGCCGCGGGCCATATTCTGAATATCTCGCAGGCCAAAGCAGAAGAAATTTTGTCGCCATCGGTTGAAATACTCAAGCTTTCAAAAGGGAGACTAAAACGGACACTAATACATGTCATGCCACTCACGGGCGATTTGTGCAACAAAATAGCAAATCTAGAGCTTCCAGCTGGGCCAGAAACTATTGATTTTTTTTTCCAAGACATACTTTTTCTTTTAGATTAATTATCTTCAAGTCCCTGCGGGCCACATTCATAAATTAACTGAATCGACTTATAGTCAGGCCAGACTGAAACTGCAACTGCTTGCGAGCTGTATGTGGCCTGCGGGCCATATAGTTTGCCTATGCCTGAGTATGTCTTTTATCGGTAGGCTATCCTGCTGATCCTGAGGTATTACAGGTCTTTGTAGACATTTCACCATCATTAATATATTGCCTCCTTACCCCCAAAGCTTTAAGCTACAGTTTCTTTGCTAGGGCGTGGCAATGGCAAACGTTATAAGGAAAATGATAAGCCGGTGGAAGGGGGAGGGGGGGGGGTTAAGACGCTGTAAATTACTCTTCAAAATCAAGTCATCGATTTCTGTTCACTTTTACTGGTAGCACGTCAGGGTTGGTTTTCTTCCTTTTGCTCCATTCTGACCCGTCCGTTAGCGTTATTCCTTCATCTTCAAAGAGACATGTCTATTGTTTCGCTTCTATAAATGAGATTATTATGTTGGGGGTAAAGAATAACATTGTGAGACTTCTCATCAGCCGCTTAAATACCACATAATTTAAAAAAATATATAATAATAATAACAATAATAATGATAATGATAATAATAATATTGTTAATAATAATAATAATAATAATAATAGTAGTAGTAGTAGTAGTAGTAGTAGTAGTAGTAGTAGTAGTAGTAGTAGTAGTAGTAGTAGTAGTAGTAGTAGTAGTAGTAGTAGTAGTAGTAGTAGTAGTAGTAGTAGTAGTAGTAGTAGTAGTAGTAGTAGTAGTAGTAGTAGTAGTAGTAGTAGTAGTAGTAGTAGTAGTAGTAGGCCTAATAATAATAACAATGAGAAGAAGAAGAAGAAGAAGAAGAAGAAGAAGAAGAAGAAGAAGAAGAAGAAGAAGAAGAAGAAGAAGAAGAAGAAAAAGAAGAAGAAGAAGAAGAAGAAGAAGAAGAAGAAGAAGAAGAAGAAGAAGAAGAAGAAGAAGAAGAAGAAGAAGAAGAAGAAGAAGAAGAAGAAGAAGAAGAACGACATCAAGAGATTTATTTCATTTTCAAGCTGATCTGAATTAAGAACTGTTATCGCTGTCACCTTGGGATTGTCGGTTGGTCTGTATGGTGGATTCAAGATTTTCAAAATATTTTTTAAAAACCAGAACTAACCAAGCGAAATAAAATCCCAGTGGATATCACTTCCCCGAGAACATAAAGTCGATATTATATAAGTGTGTCCTTCCTTTTATGTCAAATTTTGGCAAGTTGCTATAATATATAATCAATAGCCTGCAGGCCTATATAAAAGTAATTTTTGAACATTGACCTTGTATATCTTCGAATGTTGGCTTTAGTCTAAAATTGTAATTCGTTCATGGGGGTTGTGTTGGTGTTGCTGACCGTGGGTGTTTCTGCATTTCTTTCAGTTGATGACAATACAGGACGATTAGAATAGAAATGGAAAGAATACATAAAGATCCAGCAAAAAAGAGAATGAAATCGAAGGCGGGAGAAAGAACGCGAGGAATGTTATATGAAAAATACTTAGGAGAAATAAAAGATGGCAAATACATGCAGCCTAAAGTAAGTTAAAGGAAAGGAAGGCATACTTTTCTAGTCTAACACAAGGTCAGACCCCAAAAACCTTGAAAGAGCAGGGGTGTGAGAAGTGCATGTCTGTCAATAGGCCACAGTATTCCTTCAAATATCGCAGCGGTCACCTTCCACGGTAATCCACTATATAAAATAAAGGGACAATTCGCAGAGCAGAAATTGTGTTGTTTTATACTGGTGCGTTCAGGGTGTTTACAAAAAAAAGGACACATTTAAAGGGCAACAACTCTGTCAAACTGCACCAATTTCAACAAAACTTCGTTTGAATAAATTAATTTCATTCCGGGGACATCAAAATTCTACATGTGAAGAAAACAAAAAAGACATTTAAAAAAAACAACGTGTTCGAGAATTATCACGTTTTAAAAATATCTATTAAAACTGGATAAAACGCAAATCTTAATTAATAGCCTATCTTAAAAGCGTTCAGCAACAGGGCCTTATCGGCACCACGGCCGTCACATCATCAGGTGGATATCTTACCGAGTCGAGAAAGTTTAGGGTAAGTTGAAGGGGGCGGAGAGGGGGGGGGGGGGGGATAGAGAGTTATGCTTTTGAGGATGCCTGGTTCCAGTGGAAACTTTATGCTGAACAGAGTTCCCAAGCATCGGCCCAGAAGTATACCAAAAGTCATGCAAAATTTACATCAGAGTTTTGGAGCTTGTATGGAGAGAAATGGTCAACACCTGAAGCATACAATTTAAATGGCCGCCACTTTACTTGGGTTTATTTGGCAACATCTGTTTTGTGTAAATTTGTTTTTCAATGCACAAAAAGAACAATGTAGTTGATTTTTCAAAAATCTGAAGCTCTGCGTTCCGCTCAATATTAGTTGAAATTTTTAAACTTGATATTGTTCGAATAATATGTCAATTGATTTTCTTCACATTGCGAAATGTAACGTTCCCCTGGTCGAACTCTATGTGTTCCAAGTTTTGTTGAAATTGGCCCACAGATAACACGGTTATTGTCCGTCTCAATTTTTAGACACCAGTAATTTTGCGCCTTTATTCTTAGCACTCTAAAAAATCTCCCCCATGCTCTTATAAACACTCTCTGGTTTTTGGGGTGTGAGAGACAAGCGGTGTTTAAAAAATCAGAACATAAAACATTTGCATAAGATATTTGCGAATAATGTTTCCAAAATTAAAATTCTGTCTGGGTACTCACCAGTGGAGATATTTAAACATGAATGATGCGTCCATGCAGTACTGAACAACTGAACGGAGTGCTTTGGCTGTGACGCCTCGGCTAATAGAGCTTCCCTGGTTTTCCTATTTTCGGATGGTTAAAGCTCGCGATGTACCGAGTCCTCGAAATGGCAAGGGGATGCTTCATCAAATAACTGGGGAGCAGTTGAAAAATGGTACACCACAACAGAGATATTTTTCCCACACCCAGTCGGTGACTTTCGCCAGTAGGCTCATACTACGCTATGGTCCCACAACCGACCAATTTCATAAAGAATCAACACTGCCCAAATTTTTCAAGGAAATATATCTCCTCTCAATCTTATGGACCTTTCAAAACATTGAGAAAAAAATACCTGTTTCTGAAAACTTGTCCAGGTAATCAAACGAATAATGTTCCACGAACAGTGGGAGAAATATCCACCTTTTCAAACTATTTCTTTTTTAAAAGATATAGGCAAAATTGGTTGAAGAAGATGCAATGATAGACGCCACACATTAGTGCTGGGCGGATAAGTTCCCGATTATTGAAAGCTAGGAATCGTAGGAATATATATCGACTCCGAACCCAATTACTCACTTTCCAATGATGTGATTTTTTCCAGTGGTTACCTGGTTGGCTCCGAACATCTTCAGGATTTAGGATAACCTTGATTTCGGAACACTACGAAGCACCAACTTCTATTTTTCAAAAATAAATTCTTAAAAAAAAAAAAGATTTTAATGATAAAAGTAACTGGCAACCGTTGGTTTACGTAAAAAGGAGACGGAACTTTAGTTAAATCTACGTAGTATTAATCGTTGGAACCGGTTCCGGAATCGACTCTTCGCCCAGCTCTGCCTACCACCCTCCCCCCCCCCCCCCAACCCAATCCCACCCCCCCCCCCCCCGCCGCCAAAAACCAAAAGCAATTTGTTTTGGCCCACAAAGAACTTAAACAATAATCCTTTTGTCAAATTTATTTCCCTTTTTTTCAGGAGTATAAACTAGGCTCTCTTTCTGATTTTCTCCACATGTGTAAGGCTTCGTCCAGTTCCCCAAGCATCGACAATATGAAACATCTCTTCGCTGTGCGAGGTGTGTTCAGCCTGGTACTGGTCGTCTGTACAGCCACGGTTGTGCTCACAGTCACGAGCATGCTGGTGGGGTTCAACGGAAACCTGCAAGGTAATAGAAAGATAAAGGTCTGTCAGATTTGCCGTTCCATGTCGGTCCTTGTTGATGTTGCTCTCTGTGTTCCTTTTTGTGCTACTGGTGCTTCAAGTGTTGCTGCAGGCCGCAGTGAAAAGCTGTCCTTTTTTCGACAAGGGTCATTTTTGCCGTCTTTGACTTTCAGTATGAGCAAAAAACGATCGATTGAAGTCAGGTCGAATGTCGAGGAAATCAAGAGAGTTTGCATTTTGCGAATACCATGCTAAAAACTGTCCCAGAATATGTCCCAAACGAGATTCCTGCTCCAAGGGGTATTCAGTTATCGGGTGTTAAATTCATTTTAGAGCTCTGTTTTGCTTCTTTTTGTTTTGATCTGTATTGGGATTTGCTGGTCCTTTTTGGTGTTGCTGTTTTTATTTTTCGATGTTGCTATTTTGGATTGTTTTTAATTAGGGGGGAGACTTGGGGTGGGGGGGGGGCATGTTTTTTTTCTCTTTAGTTACGTGTTCCTTAATCAACTGATAATGTTATTTCACACGCAAGACTACGTAGTATGTGGATCTTCAGAAATGCCAACTTTCCTTCTTCTTGAAACCTCATTGCAGAATCATAAAAGAGAGATTGGTTTTATGATTGGCAAAATATCGATTTTGCAATATTCTCAAGCTATCCACTTCGTATCAAACGCGAGCTTAGAACACGTTTGTCAATGATAAGCAAAATGATTCATTTTTCTCGTTTCACTATCTTACAGAGTAAAAGACTCATGTCCTCTTGCTTACATGTTGCATGTAACAATCATAAAAGAAAATAACTCATTCATTTATCCATACTGAATTTCATCAAGTAGGTTTATACAATATCATGCAATCATTCGATGCAAACAAAGTGTTCAAGAGAAGTATCCTGGGACTTTGGAGCAAGAAAAAATGCAATGTGTGGCTAAATGCACGCCATTCGATCTGCACGACTTATTATACATGTAAGCTACAGAGAATTATAGCTACCCCCAAGTGATTCTCGGGTCTGTAATACAGCATACTGCCATAGTGTTTGTTTCAAGAGTTCCTCAATCTTTTTGTTTGTTCACGTATAAGACGGCCAACTTATTTTTGCTTGAGAAAATGTTCCAACCAACTGTACAACAACAAAAAAGAGTTTTTAAATATTTAAGTGGCCAATTCTGTATTCTTTTCCTTTTTAAAAAATATAATATAAACGTTACTGTAGAACATGTAGTACTGAACTGGGGAGGAAAAGGCATAAACCAACAAACATGATATATTATACATGTATAGTGAAACAAGAAGTGTTGCGCTTCTTTCCAACAGACTGAAAAGGGTGAGGGGGGGG